GATGACCGCCTAATTAGGATTTCTAAAGGATCTGGAAAGAAGTAGTGACGTAATCGATGTGTTATCCCGGCATTTGCCTGGATGGGCTGAAGAAAACCAAGAAAAACCTGTCAAAGTAGCCTATGTTTCGCTCGAGATTCAAATTGAGTACCTCTCAGATACAAGTCTAGGTGTCACCGCTAGCCCTTCCTGTTGTGATTTTGTAGCATATGACAACTAACTCAGTGGAGCTGAACCCTTCTTTAAAAGCTGTCAGTCGCTCAGCTACTGAAGAATTTCCCAGCATATTACGAAGCCGAAGGTTCATCACAGTGTTCACAAGAACCCTCTATTGGTCCCTATCCTGAGCCAGATTACTTAAACTCTATACCATCCTAGCCACTTTCTCGAAGAAGCATTTTAATATTATTCTCCCACCTACGTCAAGGGTTTCCCAGTGGTCCCTTTCTCCTGGTCCTACCACCAAAATCCTACATGCGTTCCTCTTCTCTGCCATACGTACTACAAGCCCTGCCCGTGTCATTCTCCTTGACTTGATCATTTTAATTCCATTTGGCGAAGAGTATAAATTATGAAGCTCCTTTTCTACAGTTTTTTCCAACCTCCTACTATTTCATTCCTCTTTGATCCAAATATTTTCCTCGGCACCGTGTTCTCAAATACTCTCAGTCTGTGTTCTTCCCTTGATATCAGAGACCAAGTTTCGCACCCATACAAAACTACAGATAAAATTATAGTTTTGCATATTTTGATTATTACGTTTTTAGACAGCAGGTGAGAAAAATAAATTTTCTGAAATGAATGACAGTAATGATTACCCGAATTCAAACTGCTTTAATTTGCTCCTGAATCAAATTTTAAAATTATTGCCCTTCTCAAATATTCATACTTTGCATATTTTCATAGGATCAGTTGGCTATCTTCATGTTAAGATACAAAACAAGATCTTATTATTAATGACAGTCCTTGTGCGAACTTCGTTGAAGGCCGAATCGAAGCTAGTGTAAAACATACAAGAGCAAATATTGAGTAATTAGTACTAGAATTTTCAACGAACGAAGAACTCTAACTCTGATAAAAAAAAAACAGTGTATAGAAATTACAGATTGCTGTAGAGGTCGATGTTCGTCATGTGATTACAGTGTACAGGATAACCAGCAGAATTTATATTTGACATTACTGGTGGAAGAGAATCGATTTGATGAAAGTAAAATGCCCCAGTCTATGCGACCGAAACTCACAATGTCGTTGCTTCCCCACCTGATGAGCTGAGGCAATTCTGTAGCGAAGAGCATGGCTGCAGAACCGGGACGTGTTCCAGCAGACGCGGAATGGTCAGTCGCCCCTGAATATCATGAAAAGGATGTGACCTATGAAGAACGACTGGATCGCCCTCTTTCCCACAGTTAGGCTGTGGGTGTTATTTCGTATAACCCAGTGCGTTTCACCGCTAACTTCGTGCTTGTTAATACGTTATTTATTAATAAAAATACTTAGCAGCAGTGATAGCTAGTCGCGTGTGGAACAGAAATGTGACCTCGCAAACATTAGTTCTGTAATCATTGTCAGTTATTACCATTCGAGTTCCCAACAAACAATTCCTCCCAACAGACGCGCATTAATTCTTAACAGGAAGGAATATATTGATCTCCTCATTTCGTTTTCAACCAATATATTTTTATCACATAATATTCGTATATCGTGAACATGGATAGCGCAGTCGGTGTAGCGATTGTCTACGGGCTGGACGACCGAGGGATCGGAGTTAGGGTCCCGGCAGGGTCAAGAATTTTCTCTTCTCCACGTCGTTCAAACAGGCTCTGGAGTCCACCCAACCTCCTATCCAGCGAGTACCGGGGGTTCTTTCCCCGGGGGTAAAGCGGCAGGGGCGTAAATGTGACCACTCACCTCCAACTAGTGCTGAGGTCAAGAAGATATGGATATCTACATCTACTCCGCCATACGCCTTCATGGCGTAGTGATTAATTAGTTAAGCACAGGGACAACTTTATCTTTACCTTCCTCAAAAATTAGATAGTGTTCAAAATGGCATGCAGCCAAATGATTTGAAACTGAAATATGCGAATCTGAAACAATAAACAGTAAATACTGCAATGACGGCTAGTTCTGTGAATTGACTTCATATCTATGTACATTCATTCGAATTAATTTGATGAAGCATATACAATACAAGTCAAATTAGTTCTATCTGGAAACCGAAACCAGTAGATAATAAAATTAAATCTGAGCTACACTCTTACGGAATATGGCGGTTCACTACTGTTCACAAGAACCTGTGATTAAATATGAACACTGTTTACGGTTGTATGCAGTGTGTGCGCAGTTATTNATATACACGGTGCCAAATCCCAGAAGACTGCTTTCTTCAAATATGAACACTGTTTACGGTTGTATGCAGTGTGTGCGCAGTTACGTTGCTGAAAGAGATTCGTACCTGGAGTATGTGAAATTCAAGGCCAATGAAAGTATTTGAAAATAGGACCACCGGAGTATACAATTCTTCTTTAGTCTTACATACATAAATATTCTCGGAGGCTTTAACCACGTACCGTGTTACTTCGAATATAAGAAGTACACTTTACACATTTTTACCTATTGAAAAAATAAGGTGTGTCTGAAATTCGAGGAATGTATACCTTTCTACCTTTTTTCATAAATCCCACATTCAAGAAGTGGATGCGTCTTAAATTCGAGGGCGTCTTACATTGAAGTAATACTGTATTATGATTATATTAAACAGAAATTAATGCAATGCGCTAATGTTTGTTCTTTTGGTCATTCATGAATTCAAACAGTCACAAAAGATTAGTTATTATTGGGTATAGAGCCGATTCACATTAAATAAAGTCTGAGGGGACGTTAATATTGAATTTATTAAACACATATAAAAATCGAAATATACGTGTATGCTCCTGACACACACTTTCCAGCTGTGCTCTTTTAAATGTTGCTTGGCTCACTGGCCTTGGTGTTTATTTACCACTGACACAAATCTATTGATACAAAACTATGCAAAAACACAGTATAAAGAAATAAATGAACTATATTTTTATTTTGTTAAGTATTCACCTTATCTAGAAATATCTCAAACGAAATTTACAGGAAAAATCTGCTGTATGATGCTTATATTTCAGAGCATTTATAGAGTTCAATTTGAGCTTCAGAGAACGTGTGACGTAAAAGAATTAAATTAAATTCGCCCAGAAAACTTCTACATAAAACTCATCTACTACCAAATTGAACATAGCTTCTTATATGAAACGCTCCTTGAGCTTCTTGCAACGAACTTATAAAATCTCTATGGGAGAGAAGGGGCTCATTCAAGCATTTTCCTTACAGAAGTGAGTTTTGCAAATACATAATTGAATACAGGCATATACCACTTGGACTATAGTGGAACCTATGAAAATTGGAAATTTCTGAATCCATATACACGTATTATTAAGAATGGATCTTAGAGAGATAGGATGGGATTTTATGGATTGGATATATCTGGCTCAGGATAGGTTCCATAAAATGCTGGGAAAACTTTGAGTAGCTGCAGAATTGGCGGCTCCTCCAGAAGGGCTCAGCTCCATGAGTAAGTAAGTATATATTACATCATGCATATAAAATCTTACTATGAGAAATTCAGTGGATATTTTCTTACTATAGTTTTCTCATAAGCAAAGGTAAATGCTACTGTAATATTCTTAGGTCTAAAAAGAAAATAGTTTGGATAAGGTTACTGATGGACTGCCTCGCCTGGAATTACTGAGTACAAAATAAGAAGTTGCAGAAACAAAGATAATATACGGGTATAACTTCCAGTGTGACTTCTTCCGATAATAGGGAGTTGGCACATTTCTTTTTGGCCGAACAGGAATGGCCAACAATGGCTAAAAGAACCGTGAACAATGCAAACTGACAGAATAAAGTTAAAAGAGGAAAAATATATTCTGATGGAATGTACATATTATATGAGTCCATTATTTGCCACTTTTCATGCCTTACAGCCTTGAAATCCATTAATCAAAGGCATACTGTTCCCAATATAATTTCACATCAGACATAACACTGCACAAAATTATAAATAAATTTTCTTTGCATAGCGAAATTTGCTTAAAGTAACACAAGTTATATATTTGATGTGATATAATTTTATACCATGTTCCTCTTTTTAGAAAATCGATAAATTCCGTTTAGTTTCATGTAAACTAAATTATGTAAAGACCTAAAAGTAACATATTTCATGAAGTCGTTTATGGAATGACAAATGCAGGCAGGGAGACAAAAACGTACAGACACAGCATTCCGTACACGCGCTCACTTCATGCACTCGGAGCAAAAAAACTCAACAAAGAGCATCAGTGTGATAAATGAGGAATGCATATCTACATAAACAAACTGGAATGCTCTGATTTTGGCTTCTTTGGCGGCTTATTCTGTGACCCTGAAGATGGAGGCAGTACGCTTCTCCAAAAATTCGGTACGTTTCTATCAGACTACACGGAGTGATATCCCAGACGATATTAGTCTTTAAAGTTTACATAAAGTTCTACACAAGTGTGGTTATACGAAGGTCCTATGGATCCGAATTCTGGACGTTAACGAAAGAAAAAATGAGAACGCAGAAGTCAAAACTGGGAAACCACACAAGTGTCACAATATACTGAAAATTATTAAACTAAATGAATACATTATAAAAGAACCTAACAAAATAATTTTCTACAGCCGCTGGAGAATGTCTACAAACCGAATCACCGGCCTGGTTTACCAATGTGAACGCAAGAGAAAAATGTGCCACAGATCTCTAACAGAAAGCAGGAACTCTTATAAACCTTGAAACAGGTAGAAGCCGTGATACGGAGAGTAAACAGAGCACACAGCAGAATGATAAATGTGTCATAATGTTTATATGAGGTCTATAGCACGTAATGAACCCATGGACAGGCACTGGCCCAGACATGCTTGAACAGTAACAAATATTTATCACATACCTTGGTTCAATCGCGTATCGCCGCTGAGGAGATAAGAAGATACTAGTTTTATCGCTCTCCACGAAAACCTTCGTGCCACAGATGACGTAATATGTTGACTGTCTTACTATTACAATTATAGTTAATAATATTGTAGCAGTGGATGTGTTTATATTAAGCATTCTGGATTACTGGGATCATTGGATGGGGACTTCTTCGCCTGTATTACTACGAACGGAGATAATTTTGTCTGCCGACCGACGACTCGTGAAGGCACTTACTTGTCATGCACTGCCAGAGACCACTCTAACGCTCGGGAGCGAAGTTCATCCCACTTGCTGAAGCTTCGCATTAAAGTGGGCCATGGTTTACTACAACACTAGGGGGCAGAGGTCCGCAGACGTGACCAAGATGTCTCATATATACATATTTATCGCATTTTATAATCAGTGTACTTGTTTATTTCTATGCATTTGTACGTATCTACAAATATTTTACTATGAAATTTGTAGACAGCAGAATAGAGCAAACTCTAAAGTGAGGATTACTGCATAAGAAGTGACAGTGGACTGTAAAACAGAGACACAATTATATATACTTTCGCTTGGTATGCTAACAAAATCCTATTATTCGAAACCCTGAGCCAACAAACAATATTACTAATCAGATAATTAGAATTAACTTGGAAAATTAATAAAAAGCGCCGGTCATGGTAGCCGAGGGGTCTAAGGCATGTACTGTCTTCGCTCGTTTGGAAACCGGGATCGTTGGTTCGAATCCCACTCAGGGCATGGATGTTTAGTTTGTTTGTGTGTGTGTGTGCGTTTTTCTGTGTTTGTGTACAGGTAGGCCTTGCGACGAGCTGATCACCCGCCCAAGGAGTCCTACTGAATGTGTAAGACCTAGAAAAACCGAAGTGAACGGAGAAGTTCATGGAGGTAGGNAAATAGTCTAGATCTCAGCTCTATGAATTGTCAGATTTTGTTAGCTTCGTGTGCACCAGGACAGGGATATGAGTAGAGAGAACATATGATATAAATTAAAGACATTCTAAAGTATTTACTAGTCACTCTCAGTGTATACGATATACATGCAGTGTCTTAATGACATTTTATAACATTTAATAACATTTTGAAGTATTAAAACTACACTTTTAGTGAAGAACATGTTTTAGGTGCATTATATTTTATTTATTTTAAATATAATTGTTGCATTATTGACGGTGTACATATAATTGAATAAGGATACGAGTAGATTAACCGCTGGACTATAGGCCAAAAACTGTGATTTCGTGCATGCCTTTCCGTGAAAATAGAAATAGACAATATGACTCTTGAGTATCACTAGGTCCTGCCGTTGTACTTCCGCATCACCTGGCTTCTAGACGAGGATTGGCTACTGGCATAAACTTGATCCATGCTTACTTACTTACTCACTTACTCATGGAGCTGAGCCCTTATTGAGGAACCGCAAATTCTGGAGCTACTGAAAAATTTCCCAGCATTTTACGGAACCCGAAGGTTCCTTCCACTGGTACCTATCCTGAGCCAGACCAATGCAATCCATACCATCCAATCCTATCCCTCTAAGGCCCATTTTAATATTGTCCATCCACCTACGCCTTTGTCTTCCCAGTGGTCTCGTTCGTTCTGGTTTTCTCACCAATATCCTATACGCATTCCTCCTCTGCCCATTCGTGCTACATGATTGCCCACCTCATACTTGGAGAAGAGTACGAGTTATGAAGCTCCTCATTATGCTGTTTTCTGTAACCTCCTGTCACTTCATATCTCTTCGGTCAAAATATTCTCAACACCCTGTTCTCAAACGCCCTCAGTAAACTTGATCCATGCAAGGAAACAAATTTGTAGCGATTTATAGATTACATATTATTTAACACAACCTTCGACAAGAGGGTCTCTTCAATTACAGGCTTCAAGTATATGTATGAAATAGTCTGTAACTTTAGAATGAAATTACATCGCTACACCCAACTGCTGGAACGGTATCCACCAGTTGAGGAGCTTCACTAGAACAGTGATGAAGAGAAAGCGTGCTAACATAACATCCGTGATTTGAACCTCGGATTTTAGTCTGCAGTTAGTCGGATTACTGACTTAGCTATCACGATTCAGTCTGTGCAACAAATAAGTAAAAAAATTGAAGGGGCCAGACGATAAGTGAAACCAGTTTCTGCTGGTCACGTAGGTCTAAGTGCAGATGATCTCTCCTTCTCTAGCAGAGAATGTTATTGATTAAGTAGAAAATTAATTCACCAGCAGGGCCGATCGTTTTCTGCCAATTTGTGTACATTCCTGAGCAAGGCCACGAGCCCCCCGCATGTGCTGATTTTGTGGGTGAAAGTCGTAACTAATTCTTTTTAATGATATCAGCCTTTTTGTAAGAGAGATTACAAAGTTTTGGAGGGAGAAAGTCACCCTTCCTATCTCGAAGGCGAGCATTAACCTACTGAACTCAAGCAATAAAATCTGTTTCAGTGACAAAAGCGAATCATGTAACAAAGTAGTTAAATAACCAAAACCAAACACTGTCACGTGTTGTGACTAGACACAGAGTTTGGATTTGAAATTTGATTTACTGAACTCATAAATCGTAACTACAAGTAATTTTAAAGTTGTCGCACTCGACTTCTCACTACAGCATACTAAGTTTCATCACTTTGACTTCACTAGCTGTTGCTAGGCTACGGCTCCTAACAATTTAGATTCCTCAGTTTCCATGTTCACGTCCTTACCGGCTGGCGACGGTTTCACAGCTAACTCATTAGTCCAACTGTCGAATCTCAACAAACTTGTAGCATCACTAGCCATCAATGATTACTCATCGGCTATCACCGGTCATCCATGGCTCTCGCTGGCCATCAACCACTACTAACTGCAACTGCAGACGACAACTCGCTGTATAGCCTGAGGTCGGACAAAAAAAAATACAGCTTTTCCAATATCTGCTTTATTGTTGCATGTTTATTCGTTGTCGCGGAAATTTGTTTAACGAGTCGTTATCAAGCAATGGCTGACTTCATCAGCCATCATGTCACGATATATTTAGAACATTTGATAGGCCTCAGATGCGTCGATAGCTTCCGAAAATTTAAAGTTTTGTAAACAATTCTTTTTCGTCTTCAAAATCTTAGTTGTACTGTCGAGCTACACGTGGCTGTCCGTCCATCCCCTGAATCAATATTGTACACAAATGTAGATAAGGGGCGACGACCCTTTCCGATGCCTCGTGTCAATTTTACATCCAAAGTTACTTATCAATAAGATGTCCTCCTTCTTCCAGTAAGACTCTGACGGATCTCATGACGCTATATATGCCATTACATAATTTTAGACACTTCTTAAGATCTTTGATTATGCGTTATGTCTGGTTATTTTAGAGCAACATAAACGACATTTCTTTCCTTTCTGAGATCACATCTTGAACATGAATCTGTATTCATGAACGAAAATATTTCGTAAGAGACGACCTCCAGAATAAAATAACAGTTTTCTTGCAACTATCTGTCACAGGGGTAGTTTACTAGACGTATAATTGTATAATGCGTTAAACATATATGGATTATTCAAGAATGCTGTCTTCTTGGATGTGGCGCCGTGTAGATCTTGAGTGAACCGATGTTTCGGAGGAACACCAGTTCACACAAGATCTGCATGGCGCCACATCCCAGAAGACGGCATTTTTCATAGCCACCGCCTTGAAAACCTCAAATATTATACATATGTAATATTAATGTATTGAATTATATTTATCTCGTGGCTTCAAATATTAATAGGCCTATTGACAAAAACTCGTATAATTGCCGGCGATAACCGAAATATCAGTCGGTGACAATGGTTCATCATCCTTCATACAAATTAACCAACCAACTAAATAACCAACAGTTAAGGTTCGGCCACACAGAGCGCTACGTACGCTATGTTCGCTATACAAAGAAAAATATCTCCCTTTATTGCCAATGTGACTGGCCACACAGACTTCCGTACGCTACGTACGCTATGTTCCCTATGTTACCTGGTCGCAGGGTGTACACAGCGTACGTAGCGTACGTAGCGAACATAGCGTAGCGCTCTGTGTGGCCGAACCTTTACACGACTGTCCTTACGTAGCAGATGTAGGGAGTGACAACGCATGCCCACGGGGTGCGAGCAGAAATGATTTTTTGAAGGTCTTCTAACCCAAACCATTGACTTGCAAAACGCAGTAAGGTAGAAGATGTATTTTTTTTTTAACTTGAAAAGCAAGACTGATTATTTCATGTCCAACAGGGTTCTCAAATTCTTGCACGAATGCCAATCACTTTGAGGCCATTTTCTTCTACCGTTCGTGCCAAACTCTCTGGCCTATTTCTCACCAAAATTAATCTGGAAATACGAATCTTATAGGAATCCTTAGACAGGTGATCAGCCCCGTCATAAGGCCGCTACCTACACAGGACAATACAAACACAGAAGAAACATGAGCAGACATCCATGCCTCGAGTGGAATTCGAACACACGATCCCATTATCTCAGCGGACGAAGGCATTTGATGCGAGGCCACTGTGATCGGCATTCTGAAATGTAAATAAGCAATAAGATGGGAAGGGTTAAAACGAGTTTAATTCAGCAAGGTAGATAACCATACAATGTTCATCATTATCTCACTTTTTAGTTTAGTTTACATCTTAATTTCCTCAGCTGCTATCATTCCGTATGTTTATAAAATGGAATACTTCATTTCGCCTTGCACTATCGCAGTTTCTTTAATATCAACATTTGTTTCAAACTTTGTATGTGTTCTGCCTCACTTTACATGAATTGTATTCCAAATATATTATAAATTTTCATAAAATTATCTTTTGTCCCTTTACAATGTCTGTTTTTCATTATTTGCTTACTTAATTTAGTCAATATCTAATCTTCATAGAACCGCACTGCCTTAAATCCAGGCTGTTGCATTATGCACTCCTTAAATAATTCACTTATATTTAGTTACATTTTAATTAAAACAGTCAATTAAGTTTACATAAATATTACTTACATCTTCTCTTTTCTCTCTTATTTATTGCTGCTCTTATCTGATAGATTATAGATCACGTGACTGACAACATAATATAATCATTTCTGATAATTCTTCAGGCGCGTTTGAAACCCCGCGAAGGACCTATTAAATTTGTCCAAATCATCCGTGCAGTTGTATGCATGAAACAGCCGGAAAAACTCTGG